ACCGATGAGAGCTTTACCGTCTATTTCTATATCTCGTTATTGTGTTTTGTGTATGGAAAAGTCTTCTTCGATTTTCTCAGTACTGTATTTCCGCACAACAAAAGTGTGCTGGAAAAATCCCTTGGAATTGATTTTTATAACTTGGGAGCTATTTATTGTATTATCGTTTATTTCAGTCTATGTAGATTACTTATATACGCCGTTCCGGGTGCTGGCAGGAGATAGATAGCTAGTAGCAAGTTGTGGGGTCAAATTTGTGCGTAAATTGTTGTTACGGCTGAGCTTTGTTTTGAACAATATTCAGAGACTGATAAAAAATCCAACGCTATATGGTTTTACCAATAAAAGTTAATAATTTGTATTTTAATGGACACATTGAACCGTGAAAAAATACAAAAAAACGCGTACTCTGAAATTACTTCAATTGCCAATACAACTCAGTTTTGCTAGCAATCATCATTTGTATACATTTAATTTCTTATTTCAAGAAAATGTATCCGATGTCAACTTAACCTGTTTTTCTGATGAACATACGCAAAAAAATAAAATAAAAACGTTTGCCTGAATTATTTTGTTAAAGCATACAATCGTTCGTGGGCAACCCTCTAGTGCGAGTCCGATCTAATGGTTAAGCGATCCCAGTTCTGAAACGTGTCTACCTATACAATCAGAAGAAGACAAAGTCTAACCAGTTTCGTTTGGTCCAGATAGTTGAAGCCATCCCGGATAGATAAAGAAAATGCTGAGAGTGAGTGGAACAACCAGATCACCGTGATCAGATATCAACAACGTGATACTGTGCTCCTCTAAAAGTACTGTTCTGATACAGAGAACTTGATGAAATGTGTCAACCGTCATAATCGAATCTGAATTTGGGTGCATAGCAATGTTCAACACTAGCTTCCCATGATTTGCTATACTTTATGTGCCGGTGTAATCCACAATTAAGTTGCTGAACACAATCCAACCTGTAAGTTTGAGCCAAGGTTATGGGATCTATATGTCTGTGTTACGTAATTGAACACAATTATGTCTTAAATGTTTATTTTGATCAAATACAATCTCGAATTTGTCACTAATTCGTCCTAGTTCCTCGGACATCAGCTCGGGAATCAAAGCTGCAGTGCACTTCGTTGAGGGTTACGTGCTTCTTTCTAATCATGACGAAATTCGGTTTAATCCCATTTTTGAAATAATTTGTAATCTGGCACAGTCATTCACATACTACTTCTGACAGAGTATTTCAAAAGTGGCGTTTCGGCAATTTCGGTCGTTGTAAGCAGCATCAAATAGTGGCCTTGTATCATGAAGGGACAGTATATATACGAAACCACTGTTGGAAATTATCCATTTGTGATTAAAAAATACACACGGGGCTCAAATGTATGAATAACTAAATCACCACTCAACCGGTCTTGTGTTTCCAGGGAATTTTTATCCAGCCATCCACATACTACTGATTATAGTTTGTGCTTTTAGTGATCCTCGTTAGCTTAGTGTTGTAGTGAAGACACGGGCTCAGCCATTTTTATTTGTTGTGAGTCGTATGTCCCACTGGACCTTTTGGTTCATGGTTGCTTTTGTAATTTCCTGTCTTCTAGGTCGATTGGAAGCCCCTACTGTGAGTAGTGTGTGCTACCTGTGTATTGGGAGAGTTAGTAAAAGGCCGTGGATTGTGTGGCCTTTTGTGAAGACGCTAACTGTATAAGAACTCAGATTGCGTTGCCCGGAATCAATCTGCCAGTGTATTTCGAGTGGATTCAGAACTTGGGTTGGTCCTGCACACTACGGTTTCAAGGTCATCCAAATTATCAAATATATATCATTTTTAATTCTCACCTGAAACTTTTAACTCGTGTCTTTCGCTTGATACACCTTTATTCTGACACACCCAGGTTCCATTGTGTTTTCCAGTCACAGGAGAAATTCGATATCGTATACGTCGTGATGAACGATCTGTGGGAGTTTCCAATTCTTCACATGTAATGTCATGCACATTTGGTGTCGGCTTGCAATCTTCCAAGCATATCCCCGTCGAGAGGGGACAGAGCAGGAACACACTGGTTATCGGATCGCTTACTGCTATCGGGGCGGGGTGTTCAAATGCGGTCTTTTCTCGCTCTGTCGGATCATTGATATTGCATTCCAGTTGTAATTGCATTCCCGGTTCGACTTGTTGTATGCGGCTGTCTGATGAAGGCTGGGGACCGTCTGACTGGATGTTTCCCACGAGACCGGATACCCGCTGTTCCGGAATCCCCTTGGACCGGGGCTCGTGATCCACGGACAGTACTGCATCACCGGGTTTCACAGTCCAGCTGAGTCGCACTTCTGTGGATTCCGTATTGACAGCTGAATTAAGGTGTACGTACAACAGTGGGTGGTGCATTATCTATAGGGAATAACTGCTACACGAAGAACTGACAATCAAAAATTGATATGTGTACACTCCAAACAGCTGTGAAAACAAATAGCTTCCTAATAATGCATAAAGATCCTTATAGTTTGGACAAGATATAGAGCCCTATCTTGCTCACGTCTGGAGGTATAGCGTTGATTTGGAAAAAACAGGAACTACGTTTACGACCACAATGTGTTATTTTCCCTCCAGTATCCAATTTTCTGATAGCACGCATAAACCAGTATCTGCTAACAGCAACCAGTCGAAAACTTGTCGGATCTGGTGTCCGCCAAATTGCAACAACTTCTGTGAATGAACAGAACAAGATGCAAACAGAGGTTTGTATATGGTTTTCCTTGTGTTAATCTCATTAGTTTGTAAATATATGAAAGGTTTCTGACAGTTTTAAAGTTAATCGGAGACGGTCGGGAACTCACGGAAATGGTCCAATCCTGTATACTTAGCGATATTTATTGCCGATATTTAGTGAATAGAAAAATAAGTAATTTGTTCATTTGCATATAGAGCACCAGAAATACGCTAAATAGCAGACTATACTGAAAAGTACTCTGGAAATGTGCTCATCAAAGTGAACTTTCCGAAGGGTTACCTAATGTCGTTCGTAAAGAGACACTTACTTTGGACTGCCAGCAGTAGTATAAATATTGGTAACTGGTATGACCGGATGAAAACCAGTAGCCCCGGTGCAACTAATTGGCCACGAGGGCAGATGTGCAACATATGGTCGGACAAAACACGATGATGACGGTCCCAAGTGCAATGGAACTAGCCGAACGCGCTCGTCTGTATGTGCGTAGTTGTGTGCAAGTGTACCCTCAAGATGGTGGCCTTTTGAGATAGCGAACTTTGAGGAGGCCCCAAGGTCTAGCGTTGCCACGGTATCCGGCGGACGGATTTACTCATCGCAACTGTACGCGAGTGCGTGGGTTCACTTGTGTTTGCCCGTCTATGTAAAGGAAAGGGGTGGAGACGTTGGCGGTTGTGCGCGTGGGGGTGGATGAGGGAAAGTAGGGTTTAGCAAACAGGAGAGCGAGAAGGAGAGGAAATAAAATGGATTAGAACCAGCAACAACAACAACAAAAACAACAACAACAAACCAGCGCTGCTGAAGCAAGTGCGAACGTGGTGCCCCTTGCACGATAAGTTTCTAAGTGCTTGGAAGGAAACGCACCGTAGGACAACAGAACGAGGCTTTACACGGAGACAAAACAATAAACAACAGCTGTTACGGCGAGTAATAAACCCAGGTTGAACAAACATAGATGGGGAAGGAGCGAAAACTTAACGCATGTGTAAATTTTTCGGCTTTTTTAGCCGAAATAGTAGACAAAATTAGAGAAGAAAGTGCTCGAATTCCAAGCATCTAGGAAAACATGTGCAAATGCTTCGGATGCAGTCCCTTGTGAATGATGTTCTAGTGTGCACTTAGAAGCAGGAGCTTTTTTAATTTGTTCGAGAAATTTTGAGGAACGCTTAAACGAGACTCGATTAGCACACCAGAGGAACAGCAATAATATTTAGAGTCTTGGTATCCTTTTTAGAAGGAAACACCTCTTAAACATTTGGATAAAAGTCACGTAACTCTGGTCAAATTCAAAAACTTTTGAGTAAAAACAAAAATACCAATTTTTAACCATCACTTCCAGCTTTCCGTTTTTACAACCATTAACCATGCACTTTCGTGCGCAGGTTTTGGTTGCTTTCTTTTGGCCGCCCATTTGGATGCAAGAGCAGGATAAAGATTGAAATATTGAAAGAAAATTCCAGCGGAATATAAACAATTCATATGGACTGAGGTCGCAAGAAAGATGAGTAGACACATGAGCGTCACTGTTTGCGTCACCCAGCCATATCACTCAGTGTCTCGAATCATCGGTGACCATGATCTCCGGGCCTCCATCCAGGAATCCTTACGGATCCTATGTGATCCAGTCTCCTGGTTAGGGTTTTCATACCTCCTTGCCAGGTCTTAGCTTGACCGCCCTTGATCTTTTTCCAACCGCTACCTCCTGGTAGGCCGTGGCAACCTATCTGGTGACATGCGTAACGCATATCCCAACCATTGTAATTTATGGAGGTCAACTACTTGCTGCAGTGAACGACCACGATTACCCAAACTCTAAGCCTAATCTCAGCATTGCTCGTCTGGTTTCCCTCACCAGACTCGTGCAATGCGACGTAGACAGCGGTTTTCGAACATCCGTTCCCTTAGTGACCAAGTCTCTGCTTCGTAGAGCAGCACTTGTCGAACTTCTGCAGCATATACTCGACCCTTCACAGAGAGGCGAGTGTCGTGACGGTGATACAGAAGTCTCTTCTTGGCAAATGCCAACCGAGCCTTCTGTATGCGGGCCGACACTTCTGTGACGACCAATAAGAAACAAATCGCAAGTGAACTACGTCAGAAGTGCTGTACATAAAAAAACTTCAGCGACATTCTTTACGTCGCATGTCACATGAAACTATATTTCATTCCGCATGACAAACCGTGTACATTTTTAACTGAAAAGTAAGCATACAAGCTTACACAAGTTTTAAAAATATAAATACAAAGAAAATGTCTATTGGGCATCCACGAACAATAATTGAGTACAAAAACATAATGTATTATTTAGTATACGTGTTACCACGAATGAAGTAGACTTAATTGTGGAGTGCGATCTGAACTCGGTCAGAATCATTACCAGTTCCCATTCAGAAATAATTATATAATCATAAGGTAACTCACCCGAAACGTTTCAAATACCTACGACCGAAGGTGGCTTTTGTGGCGCGTGAGTATGAAAAAGATACAGGAACTTTATCAGTCACAAACCAAGTCCATTCATACATTGTGATGGGTTATGCTTCATCCCCCGACTGTCCCTTTATACGAACGTCCCTTTGTTTGTCACTGTCAGTTATGTCAATTGACTGCTGACATTTGCACCAAACCATAGCTAATTTGCTACCCCGATTTCCGATAAGTCTTGCTGCATTCTTGAGAGACATGAAGCTTTGATTTTGGTCGAAACGCAAGGTGAGTTTTCCGGTATTCAATCGTAATAAAGTCACAAGTATTTTGCAATGACGGAATGCTTGCTGCCTTCAAGTTACGATTTATTTCAGTAGGCTGAACTAAGAGTTTCATATACCTGGTAGTGGATCCATTTGAAGTGGACATTTGATAAAATCTATGTCCCCCAAGCACATGAACGTTTACAAAAACATTCTAACTAGCTGTCTATATGCACTACTTAGTCCACAGTGACCACTACTCTCTAAATTTCAGAGCTATTTACGTAACTTTTAAGAAATTCTTAGTCCCCTCCGTGGTTTTGCTTCGTAAATTAAGCTACACTCGAAAAACTTGAGGTCTGCTACTTTCGTCGGACTGTATAATAGTGTTTCAGATATTCTGAAGGAAAATCACGCACCGTCATTGACCAAAGTAGGTAATAAAGCAGTTCAAACTCGATAGTAAGAAGCATCATCTAACTGGCAGTTTTGTTCGACTATAGGTGACGTTTTAAATTTATTGTTTATTTTGCCAAATAGTGAAAGATGTAACACATGCATTGTTTTTGTTGTTGAAGAACTGTACATTAATTGTCTGTCATATAACTACCGAAGGTTGACACTAGTAATCGGATTCAAGTCATAGTCGAGAGATACATGCCCCGTTTTTAACCCCAGAAGCTTAGGTGAACATGCATTTTTGATTATTCCTGGATAGAAGAGAGCAGCAATATCGAGCTTCTAATGGATTTCAGTAGTATGTTTGGCACATCTATCATGTGCACGTGTGCGGAATTCAAGTGTAGATATCGCGAATCGTTTCCAATGTATGAAGAATGTTTATTAGTATTTTATATAAAAACCCTCATCTGACTTTATTTTGTGTTGTAGACTCTGAGTGGTCTACGATCCTTGCTAATCGAATATGGAGTTAGAAGAAATGGAAACACGAAGTGCCTTATTTTTGGTCTCCTGTAGATGTCACCCTGGATATCGCGGACCTTGTTACACTGATGAGACAGGTTTTTGATAAACGTCACTTCCAAAATTCATCCTTACTAGAGATTGGTAGTAGAAAAAGGGTAGACTTCGTTAAATATTACTTTTGCACCTTGATGCAGTTGTTAGATGGTTCAAATCTAACGTCGAGTTCATTAAATGGAATTTGAATATAATCAAAATCTTTTCCACGTGATTGAAACAGGAAGAATTTAGCTGCTCGACAATGGCCGTCAGTTGCCACGGTGCTGCATCTATTAGAGAAAACTGGCAAGTGCTGTTGGGTGATCAAGTTCGTGGACTATATGCAAAAGTGACTACCACCAGTGCTTAAGAATGAAAGGAGAATAGAACTTGAAGGAGATGAGACTGTGATATCTGTATCACGTTAATGGAGCATTTTGATAAATAAATTCTGGTTACGCTTTTTACTGTGGCGTTGTAATTTTGCAAATGATACACCAGCAACTGTCGTAGAAACAAAGAAACGGTGCATTTGAATGGCACTGGACTAATGGAAGCAACAACACAATAAGACAGAATTAATGCTACGTTGCATTATCATATTCACTCCCGTGAATGAGACTGAAGCATTAAGTGTTGTGGGAGCGAATCTCAGGAAGGTAAGGGTGTTACACGATTTTGATCAATACCTGTATATGCCGGGGAAAAACCCAGAGAGGACGGACCAAAACAAGCAAGGGCAAAGTTAAACTGTACGGAAAAGAAGCATGGCGCAGTACTTGCCCAAGAATCCTGATGAAAAGCCTTAAAGAAAAGAAATATGTAGAAACTACTGTTACCGTAAAACATATTTGTCTTTGATTCATGTCTTTCTGATTTGTAAATCCCGTAAAAATAGCGTGAAATGAATATCTTGCTACAAAAATTGACTGAAGCAGGGAAACTCTATCTGAATATACAGTGGGAACATACTACTGAATAGTCAAAACAGACACAAAGGTATGAACTGTGATTCTAGCATCCTGTTGCGGATTCATCAGGAAATACAAGTATTTGAATAGACTTGAAACCCCTAGAAGAAAAGGGCCCTGGTGATCAAGTGGTTAAGGTCATCAAAATGTTGATCGGAAGTCCCTGGTTCGAAACCAATTCACTGCTGCCTATCTCCATTTCTGTAGCTTCCAAGGCAGGCCTTTCATGGCCGTGATCTTTGTCCTGAAAGTTGGTTGTTGGTGTTGGTCAGTGAACCGCTACTAGGACTGCATGTATCACTTAGTGGATCAACACCGAAGTTTCAGTAGTTAACGCCTGATCGGATAAGCTCTACATCATATAAAATTGGCGTGAAATCAGTGACGATAGCCCACCGCTGTTCCATAAAATGTGACCTCAGTGGAGTTTTAATCCTCCAAGATCTGATTTGAACCGCTTTACGAGTGATGGATTGGTGCAGTTGATCACTCCTACATTGCGAACTTCGTCGCGTACAGAGCATGTGAATCGTAAACTGAAAGGCTAGGAAGCATTTAACACCTGTTTTCGGCCTGAATGGTTTACAACAGCAGTGCGCGAATCCATCGATCCAGCTGAGAATCGAACTTAGGACCGCACAGGTAGAACACGACCTGCCACCCTCATGATTATTTCCAACCAGGGTGAATGGGCAGTTCGCAGATTTTCTAAGGTTTGTCAGTGTTATGTGACGTGTTGGTATTGTATGAACTACTAAACTTCAAGTAAATCGTGTTTTCTTAAATGCA